AATTTCAGCTGGTTGCATGTATTGAGATAGCCATTGTATAATTATTGACTCTTGAAAAAGTTATTTATAGATTGGTTTGATTAATTTCTTGAGCAGAGCCTTGTGTTTCTGGGTTGCATTGTGAACAGAAATTGCTGCTTTACCTGTGGATTCTAGATTATTGTCACATTCACAAAAGCTGCAGTGCGTAAATCACTGGCCCTTCGTTTCGTTTGACGCCGTTGAATTCTTTCTCATAATCATCACGGCAAATGTTTTTACGTTCACTCATTTTATCCCTTATGAAGTTCCAGATCTAAACTAAATTCAAAGTTTAATTTACCGGTATAATCATTCATAAGGTTAAAAAAAAGGACACACGTCAATATAAGGATGTTTCTTAGAAAAAGAACAAAAATATTTCCCAAGACAAAGACCTACAAAATAAGGACAAATTCTAAAAATAAGAACGTTATGGCAGCCCTGATTATAGGTCAAGTGGAGAAAAAACGTCTGTAAAAGCTACAATACTTGATATAGAGTGAGACCAAAAGGCTGTGCTACTAAGCGTTTTTTTTTTATATATAAAGTACAAAGTATTCATTTTCGTCACCACTTTACCTACATCTGACTGACATTTTTTACAATGCATCGCATTTTTGATGCCTTGCTTTCTTTCGACAAGGGAGTTGTCACATCATCTTATTTGTTCATTTTTATCAAATTCTCTACGTCCGGCAGCAAATATTTCGATCAGTCATCAATGAACAGGGCGAGTTTGCGAGCTGTAGGAGCGTCGTCGTCGTTAAGCACCTTGTAGTAGTATATATTTACGGTATGACTATCGTCGCAAATTTATTACATTCCATTCCCCAAATTATCTTTGAATGAGGTTGTAGGTATTGGTCATTATCAACGTAATTGTTAAAAGTTCAACAGCCCGAAAGTTTCATGCTATTGTGTATTATGTTTGATAAGTTTGGCCCAAGCCTCATTTAATTGAGCTTGTGTTTTTGTGTGCGTGCTGGTGGGCAGGCACATGAGATAATTCTCATGTTTTAAACTTTTTTATAGGTTTTGCTTGACCTCCAGAATTCTCCATTTTTAATTTATGTTTGTTATGAAGTTTTCGCGAAAACTTCATATCTATTTAAGATCTCTGCAGCCCATGCTTTTTTGCGCGTCTCGTGACCACCTGCAGGGTCGCAACAAGTTCATATCTTACTGCCGGAAAATTATATTGTTCGTGACTGTTTTCTGGTTTAAACAAAGAAATATGTATAACATTTTATATGGATGGTCATATTAATCAGCAAAGCACGAGTGCTGATTTTTAGGTTTCCGAATCTTGCGAGATTTAATGGAGCGCATTCGCGATGAATCGGAGCCGAAAAAGCGAAAAGTGTTATTACTCGGCGACAAGATGTGCAAAAGACGTCGCAAAATGACGGCGGAAGAGAATTTGCGTAACAAACCAACGCAACCTCGTCTTCGGTAAAGCGATTGAGACGGCATGAAAACAACAAAATTTCTGGCGGACCGGCGGTTGGGAACCACTGTTTTAGAGTAGTGTGGCGGCGACATTGGTGAATTGACTAGGGCGATGACGAATAGAAATTTTTACATTGCAATTGATTTTTGCCATCTATGTCAGTAATTTTTTGGACACACAAATCGTTTTGTTAGGATCCACTTTCTTGTTATAAAAAAAAGATTTTCCTTTACCATTACCTACTGGGCCAATTGCTAGTAAATTTTCAATGGTTGAAAATTGTAATTTTTCACTAGAAGGCTATTACGTTCATTTCAGTTTTTTGTGGGTTCTAAGGAATTCGTTTTTTTGTGTGCGATTATGTCTGCTTTGACTGATTGAAAACCCTTACTACTTAGTTTAGGCTTTCGTGTTCATATATTTGAACATTGCTCACTTGTTTGATTTTATATAGTATTGTTTAAGTGGGTATGTTTTCTCGGCAAGCTATGTCGAGGAATCTGATAAGAATCGAGTACTTGCAAGTAGTCATACTTAGCATCCTTAATGACAATAAAGTTATTAGATTTACAGCTAATTTTTGTAAACAAAACTGGCAAAAAACACACAAAACCGCGAAAATGAGGACATGTTTGAAATTTTGTCTTGGCGAAATGTCTGCACAAATTGTAATTTTCACGACTTTGTCAACTTATTACCGATTGGTCATTGTTAAGGAAATCGATGCTCGAGGGGAAACAGCCATTGTAATGAGCAGATTCAGTATTTCTCATAAAGAACAATACATAATAACAATAGATAATAAAACTAATTTAGTCCGCGTTACTATCATACGCTTTAACAAAAGAATTGTAATTGGGGTTCATAATACCTGATAATCGGTCGGTATAATACCGAATTATACGTAATCGATTTCGCCGCTAATAGCGATACAATTTTGCCGGTCGAACGTCTCATTACCGAATCGGTGGTATCCCGCCAAGTTGTTAAACTTCCATCGGAGTAAAAACATTGAATGAGGTGACACTATTCCTTCGCCGAACGAATTTGACCGTAAACTGGTCGATATCAATTATCTACCGCTACCATCATGGATTACATCATTTCGCGGATTTTACCACACGAGGGGCCATCTCCACAACACGAACCAACTAATTTATGGTTCGTGGTAAAGTATTCGGTTGCTCCAGGCTGATGCTAAAATAGTGAGAACTAAATACAAAAGGCATTTGGGCCTAAACGTGGACGAAAACTAGTCTCGGGCCAAATTTCTCATTCTTAACACGCTAAAAATTGTATCTAACAGTTTAATTTTTAATATTAGTTTAGAGTAAGGATTTAAACGTATCGCGCCATAAGTTCACTAATGTGATCTTTCGCTTGTGGATTTAACAAGCATTGTTCTCACCCGCAGATGAAGTAAATACCACTACCTTCCATAGCAGTGGTTCTCAAACCGCGTGCCGGGGGATATAACCACGCTTTTCCGATCAACAGCGAAGCAGTTGTGCCTTGTATAATTATCTTCTGCTGATAAATAATCAACCAACGCTACTCTATTATTATTCAGCAGAAGTATGCCTGAATCAGTACGGGTTTATTGACTCGGGGTCAGGGAATCACTTGTCACAGTTGACCAAAGCAGCTTGGAAAAGTCCGGGCTCTCCGCTTACAAGTTCTATTCAATGACCAAAGCCAACGAAATCATTTGCAAGTTCGCGGCTCCGTGAATATGGATGTTCAGGAAGGAATTAAAAACTTTATGCAAAAGATGAAATGCAGATGTGTTTGGCAACAAAGAAGCCCGTTTACACTCGAAGGCAAATTATGGCAATACATACCTCTATTCAAAATGTTTGGGCCCGTTGCTACACCATCGGTGTGACAGGCTTCAACTGCTGTATTCGTCTTTGTTGTTGTTGACAATTCGCATCCCATAACCGCAAGATGGATGGAAATACCTTCAAATATTCGTTGACATTTCATTTCTAAAGCTCATAGGCTATGACCGAGAAAGTGATAAAAAAATGAAGGAAACGTTCGAACGAAGCGGCAATGATCCCTACAAGTCCGCATATGTAATATACTGGAACAAGAGAAGACCCCATGCAGATGAGAATCTCCGACAGAATTTACCCCATAGACTACATTCATCTGATCCAATAACGAAAGATACTTAGCCGCTGGGTGATCCTGTCTTAGTCACGATCGTCCGGGTTGGAGCATAATAATCTCCGTATACGAACAGTTTGGTGCTTCTTTTGTGTTACAGACAGCTTATATCGGGGAGGAATTAAACATCTGCCTGGCGCCAATGCGCAGCTTGCAAACCGTCTGCCATGCAGACTGGTTTCGCCATCGTTCCGAAATACTCGTCTACTCTTTGTTTCTTTTTTTCTCTCACCCCTGCGGGAAGCCTTCGACAGACCCAATAAATAAGTGAGCGACGGTCACCTACACTTGAAGATCACGATGAGAAGTGAGCGAACGAGCAACGAGCTTCCAGCTTGTGCGGTGTGAGTTAGGGCACGGTGGCGTGGTGTTTTTGTATAAGTTATATTTTGTTGGAATACGTGTATAGTTTTCATGCGGCATTCAATCACGCCTGATCAACTCTAAATATTGTAGTTTAACGCAGCTGATCGCATGTCAGCCTGTGCATTGAAGTTCAGTAGCCTGAATTCAAAAAATGCAGTCGGGCACTGTCATTTTGGTTCTTTTCTTTGGCAGATTGTCGTGGATAACTGACAATGTCAGAATGTAGAGTACGTGATGCCAAGTACAGAAGTAGTCTACATGTAGATTTACGCATAGCACACTACCGTTACAGTGCCTGCTGATGTGGACTCATTCCAGCATTCAGTCATTGTCTGATTGTAGACCAATGACTGAAAAGTCAGAAAGTGGATGCAATCAACAAATTTGAAAATAGATAAGAATCTTTCCAAAGTTGAAAATAATCAGTGGTGGCCATCCCAGGCACTGCAAAGCCATATCACAGTATCAATATTTCAGTATTCATGTTCGCAGGTATTTGAAAATGGTTAATTTCTGAATTTGGAAAGATTGCTCTTGTATTTCTGTCTGCTGATCTGTCAGACCGTTTAAAGATTATTGTATACAACTTTTGTCATTAAGTACAGTACCGGTGCTCCGGTAGTGTGCCAACTTAGTTTCCATATCATGAATTATTTTGTTGTCTATCCTGTTTCACAATTTCATGCATCTGTTCATGTTAAGAATTTGAATTGCATGTTTTGATGTATTTATATATGGTCCACAGATATACATATAATTTTAATCCTGTTTAATAATTTTTCTCTCAATCCTGTAATCATGCCTTTATTATGAACCTAAAGTCACAATTATCGTACTTTTGTAAAATTTGCTGTGATCTGGATCAGTAGTCTTTCAGTCTATTTTTTTTTATCTAGCACATGTGCATCACTAGTCTATTTAAAACTTATCAGCAGGAAGGCAAACTTCTTTGATTAGTACAATGAGTAGTTGACTGTTGGATATTGGTTTGATAGTCCGAATTCTATCCTAGAATTACAAGCACACTATTATTTTACCAGTTCTTATTTATTGTATAAATTAACTAATTTGAAAACAAAATGTCAAAAGTCCCTCCAACATATGGTGATCTTGGAAAGTCAGCCAGAGATCTTTTTGACAAAGGCTACAGTAAGTTTATTACATATAGACATAACTTTAACAAGTCTACTAAAGTCTCATTTGCAATATAAATGTTTAAGCAATGTTCTACAGGAAAAAGCATTTATGTGGCATTTTCATAAATGATCATTAACAGAATTGTTGCTCGATGTCAACATATTATATAAAATTAAATCTTTGTTTCACAGATTATGGATTTGCCAAAGTTGACCTGAAGACCAAATCATCATCTGGAGTGGTAATTTTCTTGATATGTTTGTAAAGAATATGTTTTATTGGAGTTTACTCTTGGAAATTTCTGTAATGTACAACTGTTAAGGTGTAGTAAATTTGGAACTAAGACAACTAGACTTGGAAGCATAATTGCAGGATTTTGGGTTCCGTGATGATTATTGATGACGAGTCAGACGTGTATTACAATGCTGACAGAAACGAGGCATTTGTCTGAGAACCTACTTACTGTTATAGCGTTTATTTTTTTGTGACTCTACTTTGAACAAATATTCGTCAAAAACAGGTTATTTTCTCAAAGTCCAATCAAATCTTTACAGGAATTCACAACTAAAGGATCATCTGCCCATGCCAGCGGAAAGATTGGAGGAACTTTAGAAACTAAATATAAGAGACCAGCACAAGGACTTACATTCACAGAAAAATGGTCAACAGATAACACGTTGGGAACAGAAGTTGCAATTGAAGACCAACTAGCTACTGGATTAAAAATCACTTTTTGCACTTCCTTTTCGCCACCCACAGGGTATATCAGTCATTTGATTTGTTGTTCAGTAAATTTGCAATAATATTGTAAACAGATAATCATCATAGTTTCCTGTCACTTGGAACTGCATTCTTTTGCAACAAATTTTTGAAGTTCTGTGATTATCGTTTGATGACGAGTCTGATGTATTACTGATGACTAAATACGAGGCATTTGTATGAGAACTTCCAACCTTTTATCATTATTTGTTGTCCAGTATATTCTTAGTTACCTGGTTTCCAATAGTCTTCATACTGGGAATGCGAGTGAATAATCTGGCCAAATTATTTCATTTAGGAAAAAATCAGGGTGCTTGAAGACTGCATATAAACGTGATTACTTGCACATGAACCTTGATACAGATTTTAACTTCGCTGGACCTACACTACAGGGTTCTTCAGTCGTTGGGTATGTTTTTGTATATCCAGTTCCTTCGTTTTGAATTGATCAAAAACTAATTCTGGAATGTAAAACTGTATAATATTGGCGACTAAACTTAGGTAGTTATGTGTTTAAAAAATAAGCGATTTTTAAAAGTTTTTTGTTTCATTACATTTTGCCAAATTTTAGGTTTATGTGTGGTTTAGTTTTTTTTAAATATTTACAGGTATGAAGGATGGTTAGGTGGTTATCAATTTGCATTTGATACTTCAAAATCAAAGTTGACCAAAAGTAATTTTGCCCTCGGATACACCGGATCAGATTTCCAACTTCTTACTACAGCGTAAGTAGGAGGACCAGGATTTTTTTTTTTAATTTTAAAAACACACATTTATAAGTAAATATGTTGTGCTCCAGAATTTTGCATTACGTTTTGTTGGGCATTGTAATTCTTTCATTTGGTTAATTATTGATTTCCTGTCTTATATCCGACAGTTTTTGGTTCAGTGATGATTAATTGATGACGAGTCTGATGTGTATTACTGTGAAGACAGAACACGAGGCATTTGTCTGAGAACTAAATCATTTATCTTGTAATATTTCATGAAATCTATTAATAAAATTCATTTTGTTTATACTGAATAAGTTATCACTGACGTTGATGTTTTAATTGGCATTGTTTTGCTAGACATGCAAGTCACCATTGAGGCTATCCTAAAATCATATAGAATGAAAAATTTTAGTTTGAAAATGTTTCAATTGTTAGTATGTTTTTATTGATATTGGTCGATCTTTTTTCAGCAATGATGGATCCGAATTTGCTGGATCTATTTTCCAATCTGTGAACAAAGATTTATCGACTGGCGTTCAGTTATCATGGACGTCTGGACAGAGCAGTACACGATTTGGAGTTGCCGCCAAATACAACTGGGACAAAGATGCAACTATTAATGTAAGTGTTTATTTTATTCTGGATTTTATAATACAGACAAGAACCCATTGTTGGCTTGCGCAACTTAGACTACAATGCTTTTAATAATTGCGTTTCTTTACAGGCTAAAGTGAACAACGCCGGACAAGTAGGACTTGGTTGGACACACAAGCTTAGGGAAGGTATGTTGCTTTCATTTAATGCAGTCCACCAATTTTACTTTATATTATATACAGTATTAGTTTAGTATAGGTTCACTTCACTGGTCTTTCAATCTGTACCAACACAGTTGGCAAGTCGTGTTTGGTAAGATGGCAAATTTCGGTTTGTGGTTTAGCCAACTCTTCTTTGGGAATGGCTTTCATTATATCTCATAGTTATACTGGTTTTGTGCTAATTATTTGCTTTTTCATTTCAGGTGTTAAATTGACACTTTCAAGTCTAATTGATGGCAAGAATTTCAACTCTGGTGGTCATCAACTTGGACTTGGTCTGGAATTTGAAGTTTAAATCATGAACAATAGCTGCATGCCTATTTCAAATTAAATATAGGGCAAATACTGGATAGAGGAAATTTAATATACTTCATAGAAATACAGTAATTAAATGTTATGTATCCAGCTACGTCTAGTCTCGGAGGTTGCTGGGTGTCACAAATCGTTTTATGTCCACCGGCATATGCCATAAAATGTCCTCCCTGTTTGTCCTGTTTAATGTTGTTACTTTTTTTATCCTAACTTAGCCTATTATGCTTAATCGTATGCGATTCATTTAACAGTGATGTTAAAGTAATAATAAGTTTTTCTCTTTGAGCGACCACCTGAATAAAATCTCTGAGCAGTGTACAATACTCAGTGTGAAATTTATGTGGTTTTGGATAAAAGCAAATGTCATTTTGTTTTGATGAGAACATGTCGGTTGAAAGATGCGTTCCATATCTTGGTCTTATTTCAGTGGTATAGGAGTTTTTGAGCGCTGAGTCAATGTTCAATCATTATAGAAAAGTACATACCACAAACTTCGTTGATGATTGTCAAGAACAGTTTTGTATCGATTTGCGTAGGCGAGGTAATGTATAACTTCTCATCTGAAGCAAATCGCAGTATGCAGCGGAACATGTAGCGATACGGCCATATGCTGCAAATCTGGTCGGATTCTCTCTTTTAATGGATTACTTTCAGTGATCGGCGTGCCATATAAAATGAACATCGCGAAGATATTTCTTCTGTTAGTCTTGGAGGATGATTTAGTCATTTTAACCAGAAATTTACCCAAAATGGCTAATTTTACCAAAAATAATACTATAAAACCAGTTCATTTAAGTTTTCCAAAAATTAGAACTGCTAAGACTCGATTTTACGTCGAGCATAATTGGGTTCAACAGCCCCGGGCCATATCACCATGACCGTCCAGTTTTAATACAATTTATCCCCATTTCACACTTGATTGGGACACTTTATGCTTCAATAAATAATTTATCATATAAACGACCTCAAATATTCCCAAGAACTGTAAACAATTGATTCGCTCCGAAGTTCCGCTTTAACAAGAAATTTCGGTTTTAGAAAAAAAAATTCTCAAGTACGAAGGGTCTATTTTTTTAAATATTTATAATTTTTCAACTTCTACTCACGGCTCTTGGACGTAAGAAGTTGGATTTCAATAGTAGATGAACTACACCAGGGCGGTCCAAACTCATGCACACGGGCCACATGTGGCCCGCGTCGCATTTGGAGAGTAATCAAATATTCGCATTTGGTGCTGTTTCGTCATAAAATTAACCAGAAAAAAATCTTTTAAAATATTGTTACATCACTAATGTCACTGAATTGTCCAGTATTATAGCAAGCTGAGGCAACTATCGAAGTTGCATGCGGGTCGCACTCGGAGAGTAATCAAAAAAATCGCATTTGGTGTTGTTTCGTCATAAAGTTAAACAGAAAAATCTTTTGAAATATTGTTATGTCACTGAATTGACTAGCACTAGTGTTATGGCTAGCTGAGGCAAGTATCGCAGTCGAATGATGTGCTTGGCAGTCTAAATTGTTATCTGGCTCACTATCTTTTTGGTAGGGAATATATTATAACAATTTAGGCATCATAGAAAACTAAAAATCGAATGAGGATTCTATTAGCCTAGGTTGGTTATGCTTGATAACTAAATCATACTGTTATGGCGTAACAATACAATTCATGACGGGTGTTTTTTGCAACCAGCCTAAACAGTAGGGAGTAGGATATTACAAAAAAGCTGCCTATATGTTAGAAAATTTTGTAATTACCATCCTGTACCTCATCAAATCTTTCACTAAATGTAGATATAGAAAGACTCTTGTTGGTTTTAGTAAGTTTTCAAAATACTGATCAATGTGTTTGCACAATAAAAGCGTTTGTTTTGTATTGCACTGTTTACCTATTCTTAGCACTATTGTGGCCCGCGAACAATGCAAAAATAATTTTGTGGCCCCCGGAGCCGACCACCTTGGACCACCCCGAACTCCACGATTACCTACAATACGTGAAACCAACCGTAGCACTTGGGCTAAGATTTTTATATTTATCTGGGAGCGGAAAATGAGTTCGTTTTGTTTTTACAATTTATCAAATTTGTTTGATTCGATGCTTTGAACAGTATGCGTAAAACTATATGAAAAACAATGCGAAATCAATTTATTGCTGATTATAGTTCAAATGATAAAAATCACAATATATGCCATTGGCTTTCTTACCTATTTAAAGTTTACAGAAAAAAAGGTAAACAATATATCGATAATATACAAAAAAAATCAAAACATTTTGGAATGAGCACGAAAGATAATCTCCCAAAATTAAACCTTTTATCGAATACAAAACCAAAGAAATCAGTTGTAATTGTAACCAATGATCCCTCACGGAACAAATCCCTTTTTGTGAGAAACGAGTTATTAACTAATCATGTGTGACAAGATGCTAAGATAAACAAAGAAGTGATTACGTGACACAGATTTTCTTGATTGTGAAGCGGCATTATAAAATACTAAAAAACGGAAAACACCATTCAAGTTTTATTTTAGGATGGCCCGCGACAGATTATGCCCGTGATTATGATTTTTGACATTGCAAATCGCAAAAACATTTTGTGTTCCACAACGACCGACGGGGCCTGGCCGACTATGATATATAATAATTAATGTAAAGTATATTTAATTCATTTTTTGAAATAACTTTTACCCTAGGGGATATTATCGCTGACTTAAGGTTTTTTCTCACGGTGATATACGATAAAATACGTATCAAAGCATCATAATATTATAATCGTATATATATTATGTTTATGTCAACGGATTGCGTTGGTATTTGAAGCAGAGATACTATTTATATTATCGCAATCGCAGATTAAATTGATCACTATTAAATTAATGGAGCAACACATTTCGTTTCTGAAGATTTCGAGTTAATGAATATATATGTATGTTTAATATATACACTTTATATGTGTATTTATTGTCGCTAATTAAATTGTACTTCCCGGGATTTTATAGCAGATCTTGGGATTTTTATAATGGCGATCGCAATAATATGTATCAAAACTAAATATAATCAGGCAGTTTATCTCACATTATTATGTTCACAGATCGCGGTGTTACGTCGAGCACAATTAAATTAAAATTGAGAGACGGTTTGAATTCCCGCAGTTGTCATAGATTGAATATTACGCTACAATAAAAGTCATTATGGGTTACTTTAACGAATGCGCAAACACCTCTACCGCTCAGAAGCCGTTGCATGGTAATTTGAGATTCCGATTTTACTGTCCGTCTTATCGGAAGGTTATATGCAAAAACCCATTTTCAGTCCTAAAATGGGGCTTCGTATCATTTACCGGGTAGACTTATTTGCCCGGAAATACAGTAGTTCGCATTGGGAAGAACCACCGCTATAGTGAACACAAAACATGTGTCACGGACCATAGTGTCCGTTTTCTTGTTCTGTATATATATTTTATGTTAATATACTATGATGCTGACCCTTATTAGATGCTGTGTTAAACTGTCAATCCAAATATGTACGACCACCTATTACAAGTGCGTGAGAAAATATATCTCTTGCTCTCTTCCTCGGCCGCTGCATGGGCTGACGGCAGCTTTTTGGTGATGTCTGCTGCCTTTTATGTTTTAAGTGTAGAGTTGCTGTATCGATAAATAAACAATCCGGAATCTTGGGTCTACTGACATTATTATCATCACAGTGGCAAGACCCTATCTGTGACAAATGCGGGCACGCCAGGATTCAGTCAAAACCTATCTGTAATATATGTCAGCAACCAAAATCTGATAACTTCATTTGAAATACATTTCTTGCATAAAAACATATGTATGAATGCAATATCTAATTTGTACTTGTAACCCAGCCGAGATGGTATTAGTAACATGTTTTAATTGGACACGTAGTATAGATCGTTTCTTATTTCAAATTCTTGTTGTTGTTAGTAAGCTTGTTGTTGTCTTCTCGTTAATGATCATTTTAAATTAATTATTTAAAAGGCATAAAGCGTGACATTTTACAAAGTAAAATTATCTATCATGTTATGACCGGTAATTGTTTCTTCTTGAAATGCCAAATGGTGCGGAAAAGTGTATTATCGAATATCATAAAACGAAATTATTCGACATTTAATTCTATCTCTCTCGAAATCCGATATATAAACTGATAAAAACTAAATGTGTTTTAGAAGATTCAGGATGTCTAACAGATCCCCAAATGGAGTCTTATAATACAAATTCGAATGTTAACACAATACTCGACCCGGCAAAAAAATATGCAAAACAGTACATAAACATAAAAAATGTAAAACACTATGATCCGTGACAATATAAAGGTAAATAAACAACAATGATTAACGATAGCCTAATGAAAAAGACCCAATGAAATACGTGAAAGATGGCTGTTTTTTTTTTCAAGAAAAGAACAAATAGTTCTGTCTTGAAACATAATATTGTATCCTCTAGTGGACGAGAAATATAAATCGTTTTTCTAGATCTAGTTTTCCCTCGTTGGGAAGAATCAATTTTTTTCGATTACAAATATATATTCAATACGTAAAGATAGATGGTAGATACCACTAGGACGCTATAGCTTTCATAACACTATAACTCACAAAACAATATAGAAATAGTGGAGTATACATGCATATACATATCGGGAAAAAGGTGGAGGAAATATTTAACAATAGCACACAAAAACTGCATAGTAACGACAAATGCTTCCGGTAGATTTTATATTCACATATCGTGTTAGAACAAATGCAAATTTTTGCTATTGCTCCACCTTTAGCGCTGGATGTTCTAATCCAGTTTGTCTGAGCCCAAGCAACGGAACGATTAGCTTCCATACAGTGTACCTATCATTTTATTTGGAAATGCTCTTTCATACATTAAACTTGAGCAAGATATTTTAGAAATTTTATAATGCTATGCTTATATCATTTTCAGGTGGTGAATGCAATCTTCACTTAACCAGCAATGAAATTTAGGTAGCAGAATAATGGGCATTTAGTTACCATTACATTATTCTGCCAAACTACTTTTCACACGTGCGGGCCAGTTACGTTTCATATAGTGTATGCCTAATTGCGTCCGCCCTACAGCACAGGTAGTATATCACGCACCAGCCGGTCTAACGTCGATCTATTAAATAAACTACGAAAAAAAACGTATATTTGAACAAAACTTGTTTCAAAACAAGTCTGTTTGAACAAATCCCTATCGAAAACGAATAAGTAAAAAATATATATATATATAAATAACAAAGAAAAAATCGTCTACCGTATTCATGAGTTGAATGCACCATGAATATTCTTACCTGCATAGT